ACACACACACACACACACACACACACACACACACACACACACACACACACCCTCACACACACCCTTGAGTAGATTATTTATTGTTCCTGTCATCGTAAGGAAGGATTCATCTTGGCCCACAGTTGGAAGACACAGTCCATTGTGCCTGGGAAGGCAGGAGCTTACGGTAGCTCAATGTGTCGCACACAGGAAGCAGAGAGAGATGAATGAATGCTGGTGCTCAGTCTGCTTGCTCCTCTTTATTCAGTCTGGAGCCCCAGTCAATGGAAGAGTCTCCACTCACCTTTAAGGTGGGTCTCCGCCTCTGTTAGTCTGAATTAGGTAATCCCCCCAGACACGCCCAGATGTTTGTTTCCATGGTGATGCTAAGTCCCAGGAATTGACAACCAAGATTACACTAAGTAAAGCTGTCTGAAATATCTTGTTGGGCAGGATCTGGTAGTACCCATTAATACTGAGGCAGGAGGATTGGGAGTTCAAAGCCAGCCTGCGTTACATAGCATGTTGTTGAGTTCTATATAGTAAGACTCAGTCTCAACATCAACCACCACCACCTAATACATACAGTTTTCATCACAGCAGATAGTAACCCAGGAATTCAGCCCCCTGTCACCAAGTGTGATCCTCCTGACCATAAACAGTACTGTACAGGAGTGTGTCCGAGAGGACATGGTTGCCCATAACTTAGGAAGAGTGGCCCAGCCTTTAAAGCACCCTTCTCACTCCTTCCTAACTTTAAAGTCTGCACTCGGACTCATCTGGAGGTACTCAGAGGGCTTTCCTGTTCTTCTCCATCGTGTCTGGGGTTTTTGTTTTGTTTTGTTTTGGAATGGTTTTAACATAGTATCTAAATTTCTATCTCCTGCTGTTTTTTGTTTCCCCCAAGAATATAAAGTTCTTTAATATATATGTGCTTAAATGTTTGTGTTTAAGTGATGTGACTGTTCGAAAAACTTATTAAAGTTTATTTCTGTGGGAAAATTTTTTATATTTTTGACTGTTATTTTTTGTTCTTCTCTTTTGAAATCTCTAGCCAATGAGAACATTAGTCATGACAAGCATGCCATCTGAGTAAGTACTTGTTGTTTTGATAACTTTCTATTCATTGTAAAAATTTAGCCTTCTCTTGTATATACTGTAGGTCTTTATGCCTTCAGGACATTCGCAGAACTGGACTGGATCACTTTTATTCAATGTAACTAGTATGGGGTTAGAAGATCATTGGAAACTGAAAATGTAGTTAAATGTGGGCTATCGAGTGCAGAAAGCTTTTTGGGTCCTCTGCATAGCATTAAGAGATTTTATTTTATTTATTTATTAATTATTTTGCTGTCCTCTTTGCTTGCTTAATTCCTAATGGTTTTGTTTGTCCACCCCTTCACCCTATGAATGTTCAAATAACTGAGCAGTGGGGGTCGAAACGTTTCCTTACAGATCTTGAAGAAACACCAGTCCAGAACGCTTTCTGCATGTGGCCGAAGGCAGCTATCTCTGCATCTTGGGGAAGGGTTAATGGCTTTCTGGCTTGCTCTTATCATCTCCCTTAAACATTTAGCACAATAAAGAACATCCAACAAAAATATATAGTCCTGTGTTCTTTGCAACGGATTTTCAAATTTGTGCTTAAAGAGGAAAACCACATTTTTTTGTATCAATCATAGGTCTTGAGGTTTTAAGACATTCATCAAAACATTGGGACATTTCAGTAAAAACATGCTGCAGGAAGCATGTGTGTGTAGACCACTTTTTGTGGTGGGCTCCTTTTCCTGCCCATGCGTGTGAACAAAAGCACTAATGCTTTAAACACCGTATGCCATGTATCACAAAAGAGGAGCCCTCTTGTTTTTATTAATACCTTTGAGGTGCCATGAACACTTTAGATAGTCTACTCTAGAAATACGGAATATTAACGTAATAAAGTCCCTGATTATTCTGTAAGTTAAAAAAAAATGATAGCCAGTTATTTTTCTCATTAAAAGATTTAAAGAGCAAACTTTTCATCTTGGCTGCGCTGTCCCCTGCTCCCTTCTCATCTTACACTTCTTGAGTATCCTGAGACCTTGGACAGTCTGATTCCACGTTGATTAACAAGGCCATAAAAAGGCAGTTGTTCCCAATTAGCACATCCATGAGCTGCTGGTAGCTGCCAGGCTTGGAACAGACAAGATCAGATATTACTAAACTTAATCCTCTCTGAGATGCTAACAAGCACAGCGTCTCCAGGTCGGTTGAGGAGGGGCCATCTAGACCCACTTTGTGGAGCCCTAAGATTAGACATTGAGGGAGGTCGGCCCTTCTCACAGGGAGAGGCTGAACTCTTGAGGTGCTATGTACTCGAGATAAGACTAGGAGAGACGCACCCAGGAGCCAGCAAGGTTGGGACAGGCACAGCAGGCCACCCATTGTGGTACCCTAGTGGAGAGGAGAAAAGCTCATGTCTCCACTGACTCACTGGGGATTTTCAAACAATGCTGGGGCAGGGGGGCATGGATATCAGCAAAACACTAAAAGAAAGAAGCAGGCAGATTAGAACTAAAGGGCTGTGTGAGGAGGCTAGAAGAACATTTTGGAAAACAAAACAGAAAGGCATGCCAGCAATTAAGAGAATGACAGGTTAAAGATGCCAGTGAGCTTTGGGAATTAAAGAGATAATTTAATTAGAGTCTTTTTTTTTTTTGTATTGGGAAAAACTGCATTTGACACTCCAATAATGTTGTATTTTCAAAGTAAAATAAGCAAATAATAACTGGAGTCCTCCTGGGCTGGTGGGATGCTGTGAGCAAAGGCTCTTGCTGCCAAACCCGGTGACCTGAATTCATTCCCAGAACCTCACGGTAGAAGGAAAGAACCTATCCCCACAAGTTGTCCTCTGCCCCCCCCCACACACACACACATCATGGCATACATGCACACACATACATATTTTAGAAGTACATGTACACACTGGTTCAAAATTCATGAAAGTGCATAATCTAGTGTGCTGTAGACTGATGTCAGGAGTCTGGCTTCCAGTGCCAATGCTGTCCCTGGACAGCTTGTTTGACTCTGGAGACACCATGGGAAGCCTCATCAGCTTGGAATTGAGATCTGAAAGGTCCCTGTTTCCCCAAATCCCATGTTCCTGTTTGTAAAGAAACCAAGGTGTGAACACTGTAACTAAAATAAAGCCAGACTTTGAGCCTCTGTGTGTCTAACGGGCACACTGCGGGAAGGCTGACTGTTGACTCTCTGGTCCGCAGGAAGCAGAATCTCATCATCCAGGTGGTGAACACACTGAAAGGCTTTTCATTCTCACCTGAGGTCTGCGAGTCCACCACCCACGTGCTGGTGGGGAAGTCTGTCCGCACCCTGAACGTGCTGATGGGGATTGCGAGAGGATGCTGGATTCTTTCTTACGAATGGGTAAGCCATATGCTCATCGTTTTACGACTTTGTTTTATTTTAAATGAGGTGTTTTATTTTATTCGCGGTTTTCTTTTATTTTAAAACGAGGTGTTTGCTGGATCCATTGGATCTGAGGCGATGACAGGAGCAGCTGGGCCTAAGCTCACGTGCACTGAAGTGCAACCTGTGAACCCTGAAGTGTCTGAGAGCCAGGGAAGGTGTTCTTCCTACAGACACACTGAGAGCGGTTCAGAGTGTGGCGAGGCCAAGGCTCGATGAAGAAGCAGGGCGGGTGGGATTAGACAAACGTGTACAACAAACTCCCAGCCTCCAATGGAAATAAGATCAGAACAGGCTTGCACTAAAAACACAAACTGAGTTTTCTCACATGCCAGTGAGTGTTGCTGTGTGCTTGACTAAGGAGTGATGTGAACTATGCTCTCGATGGCTCAGAAGCCAAAAAAAAAAAAAAAAAAAAACACCCAGAGATTGTTTGCACAGATGGATTTGCTTAGAATGAAACACTGAAACATGTTCATCTAATCCCATTTGGATACGTTTTGCCAAGCATACGTGTATCGTTAACATTAGTTTCTGTGCATTTAAGGCAGTCTTTAAAAAATGTATCATCGTCGTCGTCTTCGTTTTCATAATTGATAAAAATTGTGATAGTCTGTCAGTCAGTGTGTTTTCCTTTTGATCCTCAGCCTAGGGGTCACTTCAAAGCCCGACAGCTCATTGCTAGTGGGAGCAGCAGCATTGGCTGCTTGTGTTATGTTGACTCGCATGCTCCTTTCTCCTCACCCAAGAATGTATTACATTAATACTGGGTTAATTTAATCCTGTAGGATTACACCCCGAAAACAAGCTGCAGATGTACTTTTAAGAATGGCTCAAAGTCTTTTTCCCCGTGTCATACCCCACAGCTCTCTGTTACAAAAGGCTTAGGAGGGATTGGGAGAATTGCAATTGCTAAAGTGCTTGCTGCACATGAAGCCCTGGGTTCAAATCCCAGGGCCTCCATGAAAAGCCTGGTGTGCTGCACGACCTTGGACTCCTTCCTGTCGCTGAGGAGGCAGCTTCAGGCAGATCCCTGGGCCAACTTAGCCTAACGGGCAGGTCCCAGTGAGGAATGCATCTCAGGATGCAAGGCGGGTGGCTCCTGAGGAATGATACAAGCTTGAACCTCTGGCATCCACATGCATGTGCACACTCAGGAAAACATGCACAAAGACTTAGATTTTTGCTTAAAATTGTGGTGTGCACAATGTTAAAAGTATTCTCTTTTGCTTTTTGAGACAGGGTTTCTATGTGTAGTCCTGGCTGTCCTGGAACTCACTCTGTAGACCAGGTCACTCTGTAGACCTCAAACTCACAGAGATCCACCTGCCTCTGCCTCCTGAGTGCTGGGATTAAAGTGAGTGCATGTGCCACCATTGCCTATGGTAATATACTGTTTATAATCTAAGAAATAAAGCTTGCCTGAAGATCAGAGGACAGAGCCAGAGTTAGCTATAGAGGTCAGGCAGTGGTGGCACATGTCTTTAATCCCAGCATTTGTGAGGCAGAGGCAGAGATCCGTCTGGATCTCTGAGTTCAAAGCCACCCTGGGCTATACAATATTCATCCAGTCTAAAAGAAAAACAGACCCAGGCCGTGGTGGCACACACCTTTAATTCCAGCGCTTGGGATCACACATCTTTAATCCCAACATTAGGAAGGTTGAAACAGGAAGTGATATGGCTGGGCAGAGAAAGGAATATAAGGCAGAGACAGGAGTTGGTGCTTTCAGGCTGAGGAGCTGGTGAGGTAAGAGGTGGTATCTGTGGCTTGCTCCACTTCTCTGATCTTTCAGCTTTCACCCTGATATCTGGCTCCAGGTTTTTATTACAAGACCATTTAGGATTCATGCAACAATTGCCCGGCTCCAGAAGGGTATTCTTTACAAACATAGGTATCCATACTTGATTCTGTGTCAGTCTGTTCTCCTGGGAGTTGAGCAGCTACGAGAGCCCAGGTGAGAGTTTGGAACACTCACTGTCAACTTGCAGAAAGACACTTGTATGTGAGGGGGCACAGTAAAGGAACTGCCGACATTGCCACTCCATTGGATAGTCAAGGTTTTTATTGTAAATTAGAACATCCAGAGGCATCTGGAAGAGTCTAGAGCAGAAAGATAAAGAAGCCAACTGGACGTGACTAGGGCTGTGCATCTTGGAGAGAAGGGAGAGAATAGTGCATAGTGAGGGAGCCAGAGGAGAGCAAAAGAGTCAGGAATAGTGAGGGTGGGGGATGCTTATGAGGAAAGTGAGGAGCTGGAGCAGGAGGGAGACAGGATGGGGGCTGTGAAATGTATAGCACATACTTACAAATGGGGACTGATGGAGACTGGAGGCCAGCATGGTCTTTGATGCAGCCACAGCTACATGTCAATGGAGAGCCATATGCCCCTTCTGCCAAAGGTAAGCAAAATGACTCCTTTGGCAGATGGGAACCAGTTTCACAAGTTCCTGAGAAATGTTTATGCTTATCTAACTGCCAAAAGTCCTCCTATAGTCCAGGCTGAGCTAGGTCTAAACTCAATTTGGACTAAATTAGGGGGCCTGCCCATTTTGGAGGATGGGGGATGGAAATAGGGTACCCTTTGGACCTCACAATATTAGAATCCTCACACTTTTGCTCAGTGTCCGCCAGTTCTTCACATAGGCCTCCTCAGCTTTACTCTGTCTACTTCATGGACCTTTCCATAAATGGAGCAGAAACTCCATTCTCTCCCATCCCCAAGTGTCAATAGTTGTACTACCAAAATGATGCCACTGCCATCCCTAGTGGCTATGATCCCTCTGGAATGTACCTCTCCCCCTAGCAGTCTCTCATCTTCTTTAGCACCTAACTCAAGGCTCATCTCCACCTCCTCTTTAAATCACCTCTCCTTCTTCAGGACTGGATCATTCCAGAAACAAGCTGCATTGCTTTGCCCTGAGGCGCTTAGAGTCATGGCACATTGCAAGTACCTCTTTACAGTTGCCAGAGGACAGCTTCTCACTCAAGATTTTCCAGTTACCTCATTATCTTTAGATGGATCATTCAAATCAGAGCTGTTTAAATAAATCATTCTTCTTGAAGCTGACCAGGTTATTTAAGAATAACTCTTAGCATTGGCCATGCTGCTTTGCTAGGTAAAGTCACTCAGTGGCTGCCATGGCAGTTAGGATAAGGTGTAGCTCTTCTCAGAGGCTTGCTTACATTTATTGGTTGGTGTTTTCTACATTCTCTCCTTCCCTGCTCCAAAGCCGCATGGGTTCCCTCTTCCCTGCACAGGCTCTCTGGGCCCCTCTGACCAGATCTGGGCCATTCTCACATCTCCTAGTTTATCCTTGTCTTGTCATTTCTTTTCTTTCTTCTTCTTTTCCTTTTCTATTTTGTTTTAAGATAGGATCTCACTATGGCCCTGGCTGGCTTGGAACTCACTATGTAGACCAGGAGAGCCTGAACTCACAGAGCTCCTCCTGCCTTTGCTTCCTGCTGAAATTAAAGTATGCACCACACACCTGACTGGTTTGTTGTTGTTTCCTGTGGTTTTGTTTTCATTCTCGTTTCAATATCTTCTTTGACACCTCTTTCATCCTACATGATCCCATCTCCAAAAGCTGTAGGTTAGACTATCCATTGCATGTTTTCGGTAAGATTTATCAAAATTGCATTTAGTCACTAGCTTCATGACTCACTAGTATTGGTGGCTTCCTATAGACTGGAGGCCATGTCTGTTCTGTTTTCCTCTATGCCCTTGCTCCTGGTCATGTGTTTGTATAGTAAAGCAGAGGAAAGAATGCTACTTCAGATACAGCATCTTTAATTAAGATTGCGATTCTGATAAGGAATATCACCTGTCCAGGATAGGTCCTTCACCTATTAATTTTCTTAAATTAATATTTGTGCAGATTTCATTCCATGAAACTGAATTGCGTGTTTTATATTTTAACCATCCTTCCAAAAGAAGGGTCCTTACTGAGCTACTTTAAGTCTGTCCTGGTCACTGTTGTATTGCCGTGAAGAGTCACCATGACCAAGGCAACTCCTGTAATAGAAAGCATTTAATTGAGGGGTTGCTTATAGGTTTAGATGGTTGTTAGTTCATGATCATCATGGCAGAAGCAGATAGGCATGGCCCTGGAGCAGTATCTGAGAGCTTATATTCTGACCCACAAGCACAAAGCAAAGAAAGCTAACTGGGAATGGTTTTAGAAACCTCAAAGCCCACCCCCAGTGACACACCTACTCTAACAAGACCACACCTCCTAATCTTTCCCAAACAGTTCCACTAACAAGCATTCACACATAGGAGCCTATGGGGGCCTTTCCCATTCAAACCACCACAACTGTCAACATAGTTTTATACAGAAACAATGTGTGAAGTAAATCAGAGTCATAGAACTGCTTCTCATCTTTCAGCTGTCATAGTCTTTGCACCCTCTGTTCTGTGCTGTCTTCTGGGCCTCGCAGAGGGTGATGTTGGTGTCGAGCACTCAGCAGCCATTTACCCTCAGGTACAAGTTTAGTTATTAGCCACTGCCTCCTCTGTGCAGGGCAGACAGAAGTGCCAGTCTAAGATAACTATTTCGATGGCACTTTGGCCTCACCCAGCTTAATGTCGGTAGTAAGTTCCTCACTAGGGCCTGGGACTGCCCAGCCATAGATTTTTGCCCTGGTTAACAGAACGAGATCTTTACTTCTCTCCATGAAGGAGGCCTCATATCCAATCCAGTATTATAACTTTCTTTCAAATCTTTGAGTACTGTATCACCACAGACTGTCCCTTTCAGATCTTAAGAACACTGTTTTGTTGGCTCGAATCTTATGCAAACTGAAAACTCTTGAAGTGCCAGCAATAGCTTAACACAGCACTGTATGGGAAATTCGAGTGTCCACCACAAACAGCAGGTATCTGTTAAGGGAACTCTGCATAGCTGTGTCAGTTGCCGGGATCTCCCTTCTCTACCATGACATCTGTACCGATG